GGGCAGGGCAAGGTGCGCTCTCCGGATTGGCTGCGCCGCGTGCCCTTCTCCGCATCCTCCAATCAACTGCTCTTACCCATGCTGGGGGTGGGGCCGTCCTACCGGACAGCTGATAGAGGCCTGAAGCAACAGAGTGTAGCTTGTCTTGTTGTTGGCTTGTTTGTGTTTGCTTTGTTTCTTTGTCTAGCCTGTATAGTGCACTAGCAGCGGCAGGCTCCTCCGGAAAGTGAGGGCTTTCTGTGGGTTTCTGCGTGTGTCATGATTATATCAAAACACTCACAGATTGGGAAGGCGGATGAGGGCTTGATTATCAGCAGCATCAGACCAGACCTGAGACGCTGATTTTATAATAAAACATGTGACTTGCGGATATTCCAACAACACGGTCCTTGAATCTGCTCTGGTGATGGCCTCTAAGTGTTTTACCTGCCTGTTATTTACAGGCATGGTGCTGTGGTTTCTCTTGGTTAGGTTGGTCCTAGAATTGTCAAGGGTGGGCCGATTTTTAATTCTATTTTGATGGCCTAGAATTCCCAATGTAGATCAGGTTGACCTCGAATCCTGAGATTTACCTGCCTCTGCCTCCAGAATTCGGGTATTAAAAGCATATGCTACCTTGCTTGGCCAAGATTGAACCAATTTTCAAGCTCTTCATTTTGTGATGTTGGGGATCAAATCCTAGGCTTTGCTTTTGCTAGGGAAGTGCTTCGTCTTTGATCCACATCTCAGGTTCCTGTATTAGACCAATTCAACTTTGATCTTTTCCCTCTTCTAAACACATGGTGATTCTATCTTTCTTTAAAGAGAAGTTCAATTCACAAAATATTTTAAACTGTTTAGTCCTTTTTATGGCAGAGGAATCTACTGGACACATTTGTTTGCCTTATCTTCTGCGGTTTCCTTGTTACCAAACACATGGATTGCTGAGATTTTGGGATTAAGATCCTCGTTCCAATCCTTACACAACTTTGTACAAATAAAACTGGACTCTGCTACCTTTGAAATTCTGCCTTCCACGAGATTTACGTCATTCTAGGGAGTTCCTGCCTTCCCCTCCCCTAGGACTATCCTGCATGCAACTAATTCTGGAGGGTGATTGAAGACAGACCTAATTTAACAGCCAACAGCCTTCCTCTTGTGTAACTGCACTCATGCCATTTCCTAAATATTCTCTTATTTTCATTAATAGCTGTGTACAGTAGGTAGAAAGTGTTTGTGCCGAGTTATAACTATGCCCCAGTTCATATATTCAAGAACCAGTCCCCATTTCCTCAGACTACGACCCTCATGTCTAGGAGGGGTTGTATCAGATGTAATTAAGTTATGTGTGTGGACCTAGGGTCAAGTGGGTGGCCCCTAATCCAGGATTACTGGAGCCTGTGAAGGGACTAGGGCACAGAAGAAAGGCCATGTGAGGACCTAGCAAGAAGGCAGCATCAGCCTCAGAAGCTGGCCCTGGAAATACTTTGATCTGGACTTCTGGCCTCTAGAACCATGGGAAGTAAATTTCTGCTATCGAGCTACCTTCTCTATAGCCTTTGGTGGCAATCTTACAAACTCATATGAAAAGCCATATTGTTCTTCCTAACACTGGGTACCACTTAAAACCTCAATTACAACTCACCCAGGAGTTGTAGGAAAGGATGTCTGTCTTTCCCAATTAAATGCAGGGCATTCCTGCTGGGTAAAGGGACACTTTCTACTCGTTGTGTGACCAAACTACCCCTGGGTAGATGAAATACACATATTTTCTCACTCCAGATAGGCAACACATGACAGACCAAAGTACAGATACCACCAGAATAAGTTGTACTGGGGTGAGTACTCAGTACTCACCATACTCAGCAGTATGGGTGAGGGGTCACTTACTCAGTACTCACCATACTCAGCAGTATGGGTGAGGGGTCACTTACAAGAGCAGAAATGACTAAAAGATCAACAAGCCACCCCAGCATGGGTGACAGCTCACAAAAGCTGGGAACCTGGAGCACACTGCCTAGCTTGGAGGTAACTCAGAAGACTGGAGTGTCCTTTCCAGAGGTCTCAGCTGGTCTAAACCACTTCTAGGAAGCTCCTCTGCTTTCTACTTCTTCCAGGCACCTGGTCCTGTCTACGAGTCTTCTTTGCAGCTTGACTCTGCTGGGTCTAAAGGGGACTTTGAGCTTTTATTGCTGTCTCTCTGGCAGGGAGGGGCCTAGTGAATCTGGTCAGTTTCAGGGACTTCCTGAAGTTATTTTGCCTTGTTTACCTTTCTGCTTAAGTGTACAACACTGCCACATCTTCCCCTCTAAACAAATCAATAAAGTTACAACCAGGAGCAGTACAGGGAGAGAGCACAGAAGGGTCTTCTGGGTAGGAAAGCAAGAAAAGAAGATGACACCATTCTGGAAAATGATTGCTTTTACTGGCGTTCCAAATGTAATTTTAAGTCAGTCGCTTACCTCCCTTCTGGTTTTACATGGGTTTTGGCTGAAGCTGATGGTAACTGTATATGCAAATTGTCTAAGTAAGCTTGTTATCAAGAGCAGTATTGCTTGCCTCCCTTCTGGTTTTACATGGGTTTTGGCTGAAGCTGGTGGTAACTGTATATGCAAATTGTCTAAGTAAGCTTGTTATCAAGAGCAGTGTTAAATTACTCAACTTGTAAAACCACAATTGTCCAACTGCTTTGTAAGGCCACAGAGAAGTATTCGCTACACATCACAGTCTTTCTGGGTCAGTAAGCACAGACAGAGAGGATTCAGGGATTAAGAAACTTTTGTAAAGTACCAATGCAAAGAGAAAGTAGGAACACTATTAATACTATTTAGCTGTATAGTGCCACCTGACTTTAACTCAACACCTGCTCTACTTAACATTCTTGTTTGCTTTGCATACACTTCTTAGAATACTAGCTATGTGTGGATTACATACTTTTTTTTGAGTCAGGGTATGTAGCCCTGGCTGGCCTGAAACTAGGTGTGTAGATCAGGCTGGCCTTGAACTTACAGAGATCCACCTTCCTCTGTTTCCCAAGAGTTGGGACTAAAGGTGTGAGCTACCATCATGACCAGCTATATACTTCTTTAGATGCATACCATCCCATGCCTCCATAGGCTGCACTCTGAAGTTGAGATTATAATTTCAACCTTTTCTTTTATTGCTTGCTTTTTTATTAACATACTTGAGAAGTCAGTAACTAATGCAGAGTCCTATGCTTCTTCTGAGAGTCTTATGATTTTAGCTCTTAAAGTCTTTGATACATTTCTTTGTAGTGGGACTTTCTTGTCAGACTTTCTCTTGGGGACAACCAGATGCTAAATGAAGACACAGAGACTTATTATTAATTCTGAAAGTTTGGCCTTCAGCTTAGGGTTGTTCCCAACTAGCCCTTATAACTTAATCAACCTGTTTCTATTAATCAACATTTTTGCCGTGTAGCTTTTTCTGTATGTCAGACTCCCTCTGTGTCTTGCTTGGATCTCCTCGTGCATCTAAATTCATCCTGAGTTCCTCTCTTTACTCAAAAGTCCTGCCTTTTCTTTCCTGTCTAGCTACTGGCTATTCAGCTCTTCGTTAAACCAATCGGGTGCCTTAGGCAGGTGAGGCAAAGCATTCACACATGCAGTGTAAACAAATATCCTGCAGTGATTTTTGGTTAATTTTTATATTTGGCAGAAGAGTCCTAACGTCTTTAATTTGAATGTGGACATTTAGCCAGTTTTGTGTGTTTCCAATTGATTGTCAGAGGGTACTGACTGACAGTTTGTGGGTGTGCTTGCTTGTTCTTGCTGTGGCACACTTGGAGGTCAGAGGATATCAGCTGGGAGTCAGTTCTCTCTTTACATCACACGGGTCCTAGGACTGCAACTCAGATTATCAGGCTTGGTAGTGACCCCTTTACCAGCTGAGCCATCTTGCTGGCCCCCAAAGTAAAACTCACTTGTTTTTGTTACTTCCTATAGGCTTTCATTATCATTTGTTTAAAGACATTTTCAGATTTCCCCTGTGACTTAATCTTTCTCCATTGGCTAAGTGTGTGCCTACATTTATCTTTTCCAGTTTAGGCAGTTTTGAGGTGAAACTCGGGGGATGGAACCAAGGACCTTGTGCATATTGGCAAGTACATTCACTGAACAAGGCCCCAGCCGGGGCAGTTGTGTATTAAGTAGGATCCACAGCAGGTTTCTCACTACCTCATTTAGGAAAGCTGCTGTGGTACAGTATGACCTTTAACACCTAATTCTTACCTTTGGGCTTACTATCTTTGATATAATTTAGTCTCAAGACAAGTGGAGAATGGTCAAAATCTCCAAATACATAAGCAGGTCTTTCAGGTCAGCTCACTGCTTAGCAGTCAGCTACGGTAACTCAGTTCCTAGTGTGACACCAGATAGCTTCAAGTACTAGAGAGCAGGGTCAAATGGCCAGGCACAGATCACTTTATTGGGTGAACAGATCTCATTTTATCAGGAAGAAAAAAAATTCCACTCTAGGAATTTCTGACTTCTTTTCTAGAAGTTACTGGAAAGGTACAGTGGAAACAATCCATGCATCAGACTGGCGTCCAAAAATGTGGAAACAGCAGGCAGAGGAGCCTTTGCAATTTGAATCTATGACATTGAAATTGACGACTGCTTTATTCTTAACAGTCTGTGTGTGAGCATGTGAGCTCAAACACGTGAGGGTTCTCTCGAGGTTAAGGCCA